TAAATAAATAAATAAAATTACATATTATCTTATTTAATCCTCAGTAGCCGAGCCTACAAAGAGCAAAGTACAATTAACATAACATGAAAAACTTATACTACATTTCTTGTAGGAAGAACAGTAAGCTCCTCCTCTAAAATACATCAAGGTAATTACATTTACACTATCTACTCATACTTTTTAGGTTTCTTATACTTTTCTAGTTATTTTATTTCTTTTACTTTTTTTTTTTTTTTAAGTGGTGAGTTGGGTTGTACGGATTTATTCGATTTTCATGAGTTAACCCATAACCCGACCCAACTCAACCAGTCAACCACCAAACCCGTGTAAAAATAACAAAAAAACTGACCCAATCCGGTCAGGTTGGTTCGGTTTGGACAGTTTTGGTGGGTTCGGTTGGGTTTTGCCTACCCCTAGTGATGACCAGCCTAACTTACACCTTTTGAAAGATTGAATATCAATTTGTAACTCAAACAATAAGTTAGGAACCAATGTTGCAATTTTGCCTTGTAACTGACAAAACCCAGCATTGTGGCGTTTCCGTTATTTCTTATGTCCCAAGACAAATTTTCCCTTTCCCTATTTCTCTCTCAGTACAAAAACAGTTTCAAATTCATCGTCACGCTTCCTCTACAATGTACTTTCTCTCTCTGAATTCTGTAACACTACGCAGAGCGCTTGAGAGAGAAAACCGGAAATTGAAGTGTAGAAATGGGACAGCATTCGTTGATTTACAGTTTTGTGGCGCGTGGAACGGTGATCGTGGCGGAGTACACGGAGTTCACGGGGAATTTCACTAGCATAGCTTTCCAATGCCTACAGAAACTTCCGGCTGCTAACAACAAGTTTACCTATGACTGCGACGGCCACACCTTCAACTACCTTGTCGAGGATGGCTTCAGTAAGCCCCTTGTGAATTGTGATCGATTTGTTTGATACAAATATTATGTTAAGTTCTCTTAAATATATGTCTTTGGTTTGATGATCAGTTCGTGTGATTCTTAGGTTTTTATTGTATTATTTTTATTTCTGATTAGAAGTTTGATATAATTTGAATTTACTTAAAAGTTTGGATCAGTTTTGAAATTCTTAAGATATCATTTTATTTTATTTATTTTTAAGAAGGTGTTAAAAGTAAGTCTGCAGTCCGACTAGTCATGGTATGCTGTTTTATTTTAAATTTAGAATTGGCAATGTAATTTTGAGTTCCTGACAAAGGAAACCATTCTGTATTCTTATGAGTCCTTTGATCTTATTTTTCTTGAATTACTTATTTTTGTTGGTTATTTGAATCAGTCTGATCTCCCTTCTCTTTTTGGAAAAATGATAGTGTTCTTTTACTTTAGAAATATATCTTCCAGCGGTTCTTTGTTGAAATTTTTCTCTTTGTTTGATGTGGTTTGCTTTGTGCTAAGGAGCGTTATCATTTTTGTCATGTTTTTTATGGTCTATGGTATTTGATAAGCCCCTCACCTTTGATATGAGGTTATTTGTTGAGTTTTTATTTTAACTAAGGTTAATCATATGTTCACGCAAAAAGACGAGAATCCAGTGTTAATTTCTAGCATCAAACTGAAAGTCCAGTTTGCTGACACAGATTCGAGCCTCTAGTTTTACCTTTGCATGTTTCTACAAGACAAACCTCTGAAGTCATTCTTCAAAATTGCATTCCTAATGGTGGAGATTGTAACGGGATAATCTTTTTGAATAATTCCTAAATTGATTAATGATATTAAGTATAATTGAGATTTCCCTATATAACAGTTTTTGTCTTTCTAAATGCTTGTTCCATCTCTCGTGTCTTCGTTCTTTCGCTTCATCGACCTACATCAGAAGTTCATTTGCCCTACTTGGCAGTTTTCTGAATTTTAATAGATGAATCTAGAAATAGGTCAATTGTGTCATTACATAATGCCTATGATGTTGGATTACTTCAATTTTTCAATGATTCCTCCCTCTTTAGGACTCTTGAATTTGAAGATTGCTGCTTCCATTTCGAATGATGCCATCTTTCTTAGCCATCTCTTGAACATGCAGCGTTTGAACAAAATTATATGCTAGAAAATGCCTGAAAATGTCTGATAATGTAGATTATAGGTGCTTTTTTATCCAGTTTTTTTTTTCCCTTTGGGTTAACTCGACTAACTTTTCTATGTATTAATGACAGCATATTGTGTTGTTGCCGTCCAATCTGTTGGCAGGCAGATTCCTATGGCATTTCTGGAGAGAATTAAGGAGGATTTTACCAAGAAATATAGTGGGGGGAAGGCTGCTACTGCTGTTACTAACAGCCTAAATAGAGAATTTGGGTAAAGTTCTCTCTTTTATTCTTTTTCCATTCTATTTTAATTCAGAAATGTTTTTGTTTCTCGCAACACTTTCTACGGGCCTAATGTCATAAACATAGGCCCAATTTGAAGGAGCAAATGCAGTACTGTGTGGATCATCCTGAGGAGATCAGCAAGCTTGCAAAGGTGAAAGCTCAGGTTTCAGAAGTCAAAGGGGTGATGATGGAAAACATTGAGAAGGTAAAACCATTCTTCACCTTCCTATAAATTATTTATGTTGTGCAATTTTCATTGTTCAGTAATATGTCATTTTAGTTTCTACATGGTACATTGATTCTTGATTAAGGCTTATCTTTCTGCAGGTTCTAGACCGTGGAGAGAAAATTGAGCTTCTGGTAGATAAAACAGATAACCTTAGCTCTCAGGTGTGCAAATGGTTGTGCTTATTTCTTGTGGAGAGCATAGATATTTTATGTTACACATTGTTTGGTGTAGATTCTAAAATGACACATCTTGTATACCATGAGATGCAATGTCTACTAGCTATGACAATGATTTGAACTGCAGGTTAATGCCTCAAGTTGAGGCCTTTATAGTTTTATAACCATTAAATTGATCTGGATCAGTATAAATAAATAATTAAGCTTTAAAATAAATGTTCAAAAATAGATGTTCATAAATATTCTGTTATTGAACTTGTTGGCCCCTTCTACCACTTGTTACTTTTGGGGAGCATTAGTTGGGTTGGGTATTCTTTAACAGGTTATATAGCCTAAAAGATCTGAAGCCAACTACCCCTCTGGCTCTGGGTCATTCATATTCTTCCGCACACAGTTCTCTTGTTTTGTGTTTCAGCTCACTTAAGAATTTTAGTATTTCGAGTGTTTATGTTAAATCTCTTAGGTTTATCTAGTCGCTGGATCCATTGCTTTTACCGACACATCAATATATATATATATATATATATACACAGATGAGATTCTTATATTGTGGGAATGTTGACCTGCTTTTTCTGCTGTAGGCACAACACTTTAGGACACGAGGAACCCAAATGAGGAGAAAGATGTGGTTGCAGAACATGAAGATAAAGCTGATAGTCCTTGGCATTATAATTGCTTTGATTCTTATCATAGTTATATCAGTCTGCTCTAAGGGAAAATGTCATTAGTGTGTGGATTCTTCAATATATTTTGCCTAAGCTGGTTGTTGATAGTCGTCCGTGTTGCTTAATCTTTCAATTACTTGCCCTTTGTAATAGTCTGTACTTTGCGGGACTGCTTGTTTAGTTTTTATTTGAAATTCATCAAAAGTATTAGTGAATAATAGCCAAGTGGTAATTTAACATTTGAAGATTGTGTGAATACTTGAAAGGGATATTAAAGTCGACTATTGAAGACTGATGCTGGAAACTACTTTAACAGGCGGCCGGAAATGGCTGTGGAGGTGTCTGAGGGAGTCTGCAAAATCCAACTAAGCATCTTTTCACGGGAGTATACTGGAGTTTGGTCCATTAACTACCATTAGGAACGGGGTGAGAGCATCAACTAAACATGTGACACTCAGTACTAAAACCCGAGGGCCATAAAAAGATAATACTTAAAAAGAAAACTTATTTAAATTTCATTTCATAAATTAAGAAAGTAAACCTAAAAAAAAAAAAAAACCTGGTTCATGATACTTAAAAATTTCAATTCAAAAAGAAAATTTCAAGAAAGGTCTGATTTATTTCCACCACTACGACCAAGTCCAAACTCCAATCTTCCTAATGCTTAGTTACCTGAAAGGGGGAAAACCTTAAGGATGAGAAAATCTCAATAAGCATATACGTGTTTATAAGTTTCCAATCATATAACTTTTTGAATCGTAGAACTTGCATAAAGGAGACACAAAAAGTGTACCGAACTTAAGTGGTATGAGTTTTATTTGTGTTGGGCTACTAGAACTCCTATCCGAAACTTAGAACATACACATGGACCCATAAACATATTTTTCAAAAGTGCAACATAACAGCATGTATATACTTGTAAAAGACGGGTTGTGAGAGAGAAGAGAAAGAAGTGAGGTGTAAATTTCTTGAAAATGATTCATCATTTATAATATAGTGATGATGCATGGGATAAATCTCATAATTTATTCAAATAAATTTAAATACTTTAAGATAATAATATCCTAAAGAATTTTTGATAAAGTTGAATACTTAAAGATGATCTTAATATCCAACAGAATTTGTGATAATATTGAATACTTAAAAATAATCATAATATCCAACTAAATTTGTGATAATGTTGAATATTTAAAAATAATCATAATATCCATAAAAATTTGTTTATTTAACTTTATCACAAAATTTGAGAGGTTTTATTACTTCGGGATTCAAATATTTGCACTTAATCCCTAAAATATTATCCAATAATCAATTATGTCCCTAAACTATCTGTCCTCATGATGAGGTCCTAAATTCTAATATAATTACTAATTTCGAGGTATGAGGTGTCACAATCTACCCCCCTTAAAATAAATTTCATTTTCGAAATTTATCTCAACTGTTGTCGACAAAAAGTTGTGGATATTTAGATCGCATTTCCTCTTAGAGTTTCCAAGTGACCTCCTCTACTGAATGATGTTGTCTTATTAACGAACGGTATTTCTTTGTTGTAAAGCTTCTGTACTTTTTGAGCTATGATGCATATTGGTGCTTTTTCGTAACTCGGATTCAGTTGAATATCCAATGGTTGGCGTCTGACCACATGAGTTAGGTCAAGAACATACTTTTTGAGCATTGATACATGCAAGACATCGTTTACAGCTGAAAGCTCCGGTAGCAAAGCTAATTGGTATGCAGTATTTTCATCTGCTTTACAATTTCGAAAAGACCTATGTATCTTGGTCTAAACTTACCCTTCTTGCCAAAGTGTAATACTCCTTTCATCGGTGCAACCTTGAGGAATACATCACCTATTATAAACTCTAGATCTTTTCTTCTTCTATCTGCATAACTCGTATGTTTATCCTGAGCCATTTTCATATTGGCTCAAATTTTCTCAATAGCCCGCAATCTGTTCAATGATCTCTGGACCCAAAAATTCGCTCTCCGACCTCATCCTAATGAATTGACGATCTATACTTCATCCCATTTGATGCTTCATATGGTGTTATGCTAATAGAGGCATGATAGCTGTTGTTGCATGCGAACTCAATCAAGCTTAAATGTTTCTCCCAATGTCCCCTAAACTCAAGGATGCAGGTTTGAAGCATATCCTCCAGTGTTTGACTAGTTCGCTTAGACTGTCCATCTCTTTGGGGATGAAAATTCGTACTAAATTTTAACTTAGTTCCCATAGCTCGGTGTAAACTTTTCCATAAATTCGTTGTAAATCTTGGATCTCTATCTGATACAATTGAAATTGGGATACCATGTAGCCTCACTATTTCCTTAATGTATATCTATGCAAATTGATCTATAGAAAATGTCGTGCGAATAGGTAAGAAATGAGCTGCCTTGGTTAATCAGTCAACAATCACCCAAATAGCCCCATGTCCTCTCACTGACTTCAGGAAACCTACAACAAAGTCCATCATCGTATGTTCTCATTTCCATTTTGGAACCTCCCTGATGGTCGCTGATGTTCGGCTTTCACCTGTTGACATATCATGAACTTCTCCACATAGTTAGCTATATCTTCCTTCATATTGTTCCACCAAAACACAGCTTTTAGGTCAAGATACATCTTTGTACCTTCTGGATGTACAGAATAAGAAGTAGAGTGGGGCTTCCTCTAAGATTTCATTTTTCAATTCCTCGAAATTTAGTACACGCTGGAGTCCTTGATGATATAATGCTTTATCCTAGGCTATGGTGAAATCTTTCATTTTTTTCTTTGTCAATCTCAGATTTATAAACTTGAAGGATTGATCGCCCTTTTGATGACTTTTAATTCGATCACAGAGAGTCGGTCGAACTAAAAGTGTTGTCATTCGAGAAATAGAATCAGTGGGCGTAGCTACCACTTCGAGGCTTAATCCCTCAAATTCTCTCCATAAGGCCTTTGTGTTGTCAACATTGCCACTTGTCTCGTTGTCTTTCCACTCAAGGTGTCGACTACTACGTTTGCCTTGCCTGGATGACAATGAATTTCATAATCATACTCCTTTACCAGTTCAAGCCATCTCCTTTGCCTCATTTTCAACTCTTTCTGAGTGAAGATATACTTAAGGCTCTTATGATTTGTATAAATGTCACACTTTCCTCCGTAAAGATAGTGCCTCCAAATCTTCAAAGCATGAACTACCGCAGCTAGTTCTAGGTCATGTGAGGATAATTCTGCTCACAAGGCTTCAACCGTCATGATGCATAAGCAACTACCTCACCTCGTTTCATCAAAACACATCAAAGATGACAAAACATTCCGATCTTCCAGTTATGATTAACACTGGTACATTGATTAATCTTTTTTTCAACTTTTCAAAACTACGTTCACATTTTTCTATCCATTCAAACTGTATACCCTTGCCAGTCAACTATGTTAATAGTCTGAATATTTTAGAGAATCACTCAATAAACCTCCTGTAGTATCCTGCTAAACCTAAAAAGTTGCGAAACTCTTCTACATTGGTTGGCCTAGACCAGTTCAATATCACATCTACTTTACTGGGGTCCACCTCTATTCTCTGTGTTGTGACTATATGCCCAAGAAATACCACCAGTTCCAACTAAAATTCACATTTCTTAAATTTTGCAAAAAGAAAAATCTTTCCTTTCTCAGGATCCCTAACACAATTCTCAAATGTTTTTCATGTTCAAAGTAGACCAAGATATCATCAATGAATATGATGACACGCCTGTCCAAGCATTCATGAAAAACTCGATTAATCAAGTCCATTAAAACTCCATGAACATTTGTTAAGCCAAATGGCATAACTAAAACTTTTAGTGACCATACCAAGTTCTAAAGACAGTCTTTGAGGCATCACTAGGTTTGATCCTCAACTAGTGATATCCCAACCTCAAATAAATCATTGAAAATACTTTGTCCCTACTTAGTTCGTTAAACAAGTCTTCGATTCTAGGTAGTGGATACTTATTCTTAATAACGATTCTATTCAATTCTTGATAATCAGTACACATCCTCATTGTCCCCTTTTTCTTGACAAACAATATTGGCACCTCCCATAGTGATACACTGGATCGAATGAATCATTTTCCCAACAATTCTATTTGGGTCTTTAGTTCCATAACTCCTTTGGTGCTGATTACGCCCAAAGAATAACGCAGTAGTTGTAATGCAGCTTTGGCATATCGTATCCACAGGAAGATGGAAAAATATTTATATGTTCCAAAAAGAATGAATTTGTCCTCTTAAATTTTTAGTAAATTCAATGTTGAAGTAGTAAAGTTAACATCAATAGTTTGGGGTAGTGAAGCGTCAGAATTCACTCAATTGGATCGAATCAAT